TGTGACAAACCATTGGGTTCGTCCAAAGTAAAATTCGACGATGGACCCTGACCTTAGATAGCTTTCATATTGAGATATCTTGATTGTTCATACTCCCCACACTCAATAAAGCCGTTTTACAAAAGAATAGTGATTAAAGAGGGGCTGAGGTTTGCATTTAAATATGTCTTCAAAGAAGGCAGGGTGCTTAGTAATAAGGCCTCTCTTCTATTCCAGGAAACAATGCGCAACGCAGTCTTTAACCTGTAGGTTAGCATGATTATTGGCAACGAGCATCCGAGCGAAGACGAGAATTTGGCGAGGCGGCAGCAGAATAGAGCCGCGCAAGACTGGACAATAGGCAGCAATTCTCGATCGAGCTTCAAAAAGTGTAACCTAATGTAAGGTAGATTCCCCTGAAACCAAGTTGTGGGACAGTTGTCAACCAATCAAAAGGCGGTACGTGGCGCCCGGGCTGAAGTTGAGTGTGATTGGCTTTTAAAAATACAGAATTTCACGCAATTCCTGCCGTCGCGACTTCCTGTATTAATTTACCTAAGTTTATTTGTCAAACCTGGCCCCTACAGTCAAGAAACGTGAGTACTTTGATGCATTGTATTAATTTTGGGGGCAACCTTTTAACGAGGAGAAGCTTGTAAAACAACAAAAGTTTTCTATGTGAAACAAGCAATTCTCACCACTAAAAAGGATCTGATTACACGAGGAGATAAGGGATTAGCTTGATACGAATAATGTACTCTCTTCTGTTGGAAAATCTGATGTTAGGGAAAAAATCTAACCAGCAAACGAACAAAAAAAAGAATTAAAAAGAATTAAAAGCCTAAAGCGAACGACAAAGGAAAAGAAAACAACGCTATTTTTTTCGAAACCTGGCTGAGTGTATATAAAAAAATGAAAATACAATTTTAACGTGCCGTATACGATAAATGCATAACACCTTTTCAATGAAATAATCCTTGCAACCGGAAGGGACCAAGAAACTGCCAAATGTCGGAAAAAAGGAATTCCTATCAAAATACGCATGATTTGCTCGTTGGCACCCTATCGATAGGTATACCTACAGTATTTGTATACCGAACACGGTTTACTCACCCAATGTAGCCATCTCCCAGAGAACAACACCAAAAGACCAACTATATTAAAAAAATAATAAATAAGCACAAATGTCATAACTATACCCACTGTATTAACACTATTTTCCCTCTCTTCTTTTTAGTTGATGAACTTTCTGTGAAAATAGGCGTCAAGGCGAGTGTCCACCCTTTCGTGTCTTCGCCTACAACTGAGCGACTTCTCGCGCGCTGATTGGTCGAAAGCTATTGTCAATAAGAGTACAAATCGATAAACTTCAATGGAAATGGACGTTAAAAACCGTCAATGTTATTGTAAAATCCCTGCAGTGAAAGCAGTCACCTGCGGCTGGTGGTTACACTTGAATGTTGAACATTTGTAATTTCCATGGTCGCTAAGAGTACAGACCAAAGACAATTTTTGTCGATTTGTTGAAATAGACTGGCCAATCGATCTCCATAGCCAACTTAATGGTTTCGAATAGTGAATCGTTAACTCACACATCACTTTTGGTTGTGCAAACGCCTTGAAAAAGTGATTCTGGGGACATCCACTTCACAGGAAGTTTTTTGGACTTCGCTGAGCTGCTGACATCTTCATAGATTTGTCTCATCAACCCAAAGTCCGACACTTTGATCTGGTTGTCACGGCCAACAAGAACATTGCGGGCAGCAAGGTCTCTGTGAACAAGATTGTTTTCGGCGAGATGATTCTGATTAGATAAAGGAAGCAGGAAAAACAAGCAGAAAAATATTAATACCATGATACTTAAATTACAGGGCTAAAACTGGCAAACAGGAGATGATGGATGAAAGAGAAAAATTACAGGACAAATAAAAAGTATAGTTTCAGCACTAAACTGATTCAAACGGCCAGTTCAAGTTCAGACGCGTGACGTAAGTTAAGGGACTTTTGATTTGCTATTTGATTTGAAAAAAATCATACACCATCTGGAAAATTAAACCATTTATCCTTTAGGGACTGTGCAATAATTATCGGGAGGGGGAGCTGAGAAATTAGCTTCAAAGGTTAAATTGTGTAGTTGTATCGCCAACGCAGAATTAGTTCAACTCCCCCTCTCGCATGTCTTAATATTCTTTACTACCCCCCCTCTCCCCCCACACCAAATATAATGTAACTGCATAGAAGTTGAAAAGCTTGAAAACTGTCTTTGCTATTTGTTGTCCGACAACCCTACTTGTGCTGGAAGGCTTCTCCGAGAGGAGAAGAAGCCAAAGCCCCATGATAACATCAACATAAGGCCATGCAAGAGGGAGGCGAATCGCATCTTGGATAAGCTTCATGCCATCACAGGAAACATAACTAAACATGATGACAGCCTATTTACCTAGGGTGGCAAACTTAAGACTGGCCTTAATTGCCTTCACAATTTCAACAATGAGAAACGGCATTACATCAAGTCTGGCGTTGACAAGGCTGTGCTACATGTTGTTGAGGACTTGGACAGAGTGATGGCTAAATATAAGGCGACATATTAAACTGGCACCAAGTCCACAACATCTGAAGCAAGAAAAAGGAAAGACCAGAGAAAAAAAAAGGGGAAAGAGGAACCTCGTAGCTTGTGAAAACATAAGAAAAGGAGCGTGCCTTATTTTCCGTTCCTTGGGAGGAGACAGGCCCCCTGCTGAGGACTTTGAGCCGGACATACTTGGTATTCCCCGACAGGAAACAGTTGATCATGAAACCCTACATTTGTTTGCCTCAAAGACAGACACGGCATGCCTGCGGGACCTTTGCAGAGCAAACTGTTTTACCAGGGAAGCCCAGGAGATTGTCTGGGACTTCAGCACCTTAGGGTGAATTCCTGTCTTATAATGCATGTGGAATTGTTTAATTACAATTTAATGCAGAGGCACATGACATAAAATGAAAGTTAAGGCTCCCCTGTAATAAGAGTAATTTTAATTTGACCCCCCCCGGCCATCTTGCAATTTTTTTACTTAACGGCCCCCCCGCCCATCTGGTTTTTCAGCCCCCTCTTGATAATTATTGCACAGTCCCTTATTCCTTGCTTATAAAATAGACTTTCAAAACGGCTTTTGAATAATAGTGTTTGTTGAAACACTATGTCAAAATGAATTCTCCTTCGTCCCAAAATATAATATAGTCAAAAGTCTGACCGGCATCCCCTGTCGTCACTATCTATTTGGATGTGAGAATCGAGGAACAATCAAAAGAAACGTTATCCGGGGGAGTACTCAACAAAGTTTCATACGGGGAGGCTTCGCCCCGCGATCCAACGCCTTACCATTTCCTACACCATTGATATAATTTATGGTTCTTCTTTCCCATACCTAGTTTAGATCTTTGCATCCCTTTTAACTCTTGTAAATACAATTTCTTTAACGAATAAATCATAAAGCCGGAAAATTTCTCGACTTTTTCACAGCCATAAAATCCTTCTGTTAGCTCTTTTATGTCTTTTTACAAACCGAAATGACGAAATGACAGATTTCCGTATCCTTTCATACACTTCAACTAATGAAATCCCTACCCTTTCGTGTAGAAAGCCTAAAAAAGGCACTCTTTTTAGGCGAATCCTCCCCTTGTGGGCCATTATAGAGATTACCCCCCGTCGGGCACTTTTTGTAGAGAATAAAACAATAAAAAGTAACAGTAATTACCATTCCTTTAGCTATTTGCCAAGCAAATGAGAACAGTTGTTTGGTGTGAAAGCTCTCCTCGTCACCCTCTTCTTCACTGGAATCCTCGTCAAAGTTTTCAATCAAAGGCGAAATGGCGGAGGAAGGCTTTACTTGACTTTGTCCAGTTAACCCTTGGCTGCTGAGCAGTTCTTTGTCGGTTACTTTCCACTCCGCCCTTTCCTAAATGAATTTACCAAAAAAGATAATAATTAGTGCTCTAGCTTAAAACAGCCAAATTTTCAGGTTACTCAGAGCGTTTATAAGCAAATAACAGTTCAATAGACTTAAAGATATAAAACCTGACAATGCTCGAGCCAAATGCGAGTAAAGGAAAGGTATTCAAAATATCTGGGATTAATTAGACCACGACAGTTTAAAAGCCCCTAGCTGTGGCCTCACCGCACGAAGTTTACCCAGAAAGCCTCGGGCACCTGCTAGCACCTTAGAGTGCTGATAACTCATCAAC